TACATTTATACAACCCAAAACTTTCATATAGTATAAAAAACATCATGGTTTTGTTTATACCACCCAAATCTTTCATATAATATAAAAAACATCATGGTTTTAACTTTTAACAGGTGAAACAGGCCTTTTCCTTTTTATGCATAGGTAAGGTTGCTTGTATGCATAAATAGGGTCGTCAAAACGGCTCGCTGTTCGCGAACAGCTCATGTTCGGCTTGTTCGCTAAGTCAACGAGCCGAACAAGAACAACACGAATAAATATGATGAGAAGTATTTTTAAAAAAATTAATTGGCTGCAAGGATACAATGATTTATAATCAATTAAAAGTATTAATTGAGAAAATAAAATAAAAATTATTAAATTAGATTCAAATTATGTTTTAAATCTTGCCCCAATCATTAACATTTTATGGCTACATGTTTAGGGTTGTCAAAACAACTCATTGTTCGTGAACGGCTCGTGTTCGGCTCGTTTGCTTGCCCGAACACGAACACACCTTTTGAGCTTAAAATATAAATGAGCCGAACACGAGTGGTATTAACGTAAGTATTTCTATATTAATAGATGCTTATTTTTAGTTTATTAAATGGAGTCTTATGTGTATCAATATATAATATGTTTGCCCAATTATTTTATGTGGTTTGTCAGCATTCAAATCAAGGATAAAATGATTATTCTAACTTTTGAATATGTTTTTTTTATTATTTAGTTTAGTTGGTTAGAAAGTTAATGAATCATTTGCTTCTGTTGGAAGTAGGGTTTTGCTCGTGGAATAAAGAAATGATTTTTTAAGCTTTTTCTTCCTTTTCTCTGCTGCTTTATGACTTTCGGTTATGTTTTATCCACTTTATTTTTTCTCTTTATCTACTCTGTTCTTCTTCTTTTTTTTTTCATAATTTTTTTTTATTATTATGAAGAATCAAGAAATTTAAATGTTTCATATGTAAATGCATAGGATTGGGTGGTATGTATGTAAATAGCACTTTAGCTATTGAATAATAATATTTCGACTATAACGGTTACACGCAGTGGTTGACATCATTCTATGATCAGTGGCGACCGATGGTGGCCAACAGTGGTCGACTAACGATGGCGGTTAAAGAGGCCGATGGTTATTTGTCGAATCTTACTACCAGAACAATCTCCAAAATTTCCCTAGTATGTATGTAAATAGCACTTTAGCTATTGAATAATCATATTTCGACTATAACGGTTACACGTAGTGGTTGACATCATTCTATGATTAGTGGCGACCGATGGTGGCCAACAGTAGTCGACTAACGATGGTTAACTGTGGTCGGCGGTTAAAGAGGTCGATGATTATTTGTCCAGAACAATCACCAAAATTTCCCTTATTCCCCTCCTCCTCAAGTGGTGATAAGTGGCCTATTTATAGCCTTGTGGAAAGGTGTGTTTTGATATATTGACACATAACTTCCCTTCCACCTAATCAGACGATGACTGTAGATAATTTTTAAATAATTTGAGTGATTTAATGACCACAATTTAGAGATCTTGATCTCGTCGGATTTCTCTCGTCGATGCGTTCAATTTGATTATTTTTTATCATAATTAGCTTTTGTTTGACCATTAAGTTGACGATATAAATTCTGCAGATACAATACAACAAACATGCTACTACGGTTTACTTTGGGCTTCATTGATATCATTTTGTTTGTCTTGTCAAGATGGTCAATTTATGTCGATAAAATTGTTAGAATCGGGCCCAAATAATCTTAAAATTGAATTTAAAATATTTATTATTAAAATATGCATCAACTTTTATGTCAAAGGATAAAAATTTCTTCCTGACACATCAAGCCTAGGAGGATTAGTGGCATGTATGTAAATTTTCCTTCTGCCTTTGAAAAGGTGGTATATCAAGATGGCCGGCGCTTGTTGAATTTCTGCCTGTTGGAGAGAGCAGCCGGCCTCCGGTTGCTAGCGATAGTCAGCCAAGGTGATGGCCGGCTCTTGTTGAATTTCTACCCGTTGCTCTCTGCTATCGTCAAGGCATTTTTTGGTCATACAATGTTAGATATGTAAATACATAGAAATTGTGTGATATGCATGTAAATGCCAAATATACATATAAAGTTTCTCATAGACCTTGGATTTGCAATGATAATTTTGCAATCCTGAGAATTATGTTGTAATAATCAAATTGATGCTGAAGATAATGTTAAAACAAACTCACAAATTAGGTTGTTTACGATCTAATTTTGAGCAGAGCCAGGGCCACCTCAAAATCGACTCGAAAAAAAAAAATCAATTCAGAATTTTGGCTCCCAACTCGGCTCATTTACTTCGATCCAATCTTGATTCAAGAAAAAAAAATTTAATCAATTTTCAAACAATTAACGATCTACGAGCTAAATTAACAGCTCCACCCACATGCTCTAAGCTGTTGCTCAACTACTTTTTCACAGTAGTGCATAGGATTTTTGTTCTTCACAGAACTGCCATATTTCAATCTAAGATGCAATTAGTCTGGTTCGAATTGGAGCTAATATCAAATTGAGGTTGAGGTTAACAGCTCAGGATTAACTTGACAAAATTGAGAGGGTGACTTCTTATGAAATGTAGAAGTTTAACTGTTAATTAAACTATGTAATGTGATAAAATTGGGAAATGAACTAAAAATAGAGAAGAATGCATGAGTAATTATGTTTGTTCATGATTTAGGGTTCGTTTGAGGCAGCTTATTTGGTGCGGTGGAGTTGCGGTGGAGTGGTTCGGAAGGGAGAATGAAAACGCAGCTGGCTTGTTTAGGTAAACTGCGTTTTGGCAGCTTATACGTTTTGAAAATGCTGAAAGCAGAATTTTAACATTAGGTGTGGTGACAGCTTTCAGGCAGCGATCTGAATTTTTCAAAAAAAAAAATAAAATTTTATAATAGCCACCTCACCTAACTTATCAACAGATTATTTTTAATCAGTTTATCAGCAGATAATTGAATAAGCTGCAGTTGCCCCAAACAAATCCTTAATCAACCAACTTTTTACATAACTTTTATTTCAAGATCACATTAAAACATATGCATAGAAATTTATATTTCACTTTTAACAAATTTAATATCAATTATGTTCATTATATAATTAGAAATTCAATTGTTAAATAATAATGATAAATTAAATATTACATATGTGAATACATAAAAAAAATTGTTATATATGAATTCTTCCATAAACAAAAAAACCCCACTTATGAAGTTAATCTAAGTTAATATAGATTGAAGAGCTGGCTTACATAAGAATGAATAACAATTGATGCACATTTAACTCATTTACCATTAAAATTAAATAAAGATTAAGAAAAAACATATCAAAGATCAAAATTAGAAAATACAAATTTATACGATTAAATAATCAAAACCTAAAGCAATGAACATACAGGTTTAAGAAAAAAAAATCACAACTTCAACAGTAATACTTAGAGAGATTACACAACATAAATAAGAGTGAATATACACCACTTTAATTATATGAACGAAGGAGTGACTACAATCACTTGCTACAAAATCATATTGGGCATCATGCATTACTGCTATGACAAACTTCCCCTATTATAGAATTCAACCAGAAACCAAAACTAATAGTAGTTTCTTTTTCTCAAAGAAAGTTGGAGTTGGCTTATAATGATGTTTTTGGAGACCATTACAATCAATCTTTATTGTCATTGCTTCCATGCCACAAAATAAAATAAAGTTTTCAATTCGACCATTGGGAACTACATTACAGGAGAAGTAGCAATTGTGTCCAACATGTTATCTTAGATAAACTCAATCATGTTGTCATCAATTTTGAGAAAATAGAAGTTTCTCTCCTACCAATCTTTAAAACTAAAGCAATCATCTATCATGTGTCCAACATCTGTGATAGGCTTCTCCGACCTAGGTAGTTTGAATTTTGGCTTCTTCAACAAATTTAAATATCACCAGCACTACCTCCCTCTTAAACAAGTAAAAGTTAATCTCAGAGATTCACAAAGACATGAGAAATTATCCCAGAAATTTTCAAGATATTTCAATTATTAATTTAAGTTTAATTTCAATGTTATAATTTTGTGAATTTCTAAAATAGCCTAAAATTAGTAATGTCCATCCACGGTTGTTTCTCCTAGAACTTAAAACATAAAGGCCAAGCGAAGTTTCCTAGAACCCTCTTGTTGGACTCCTTGTAGCTGTTGTCCTCCGGATGTCAAATTTTTTCATAGATTTAAGGGTGATTTTTCTTTAAGTATCCCCTGTCTACCATCCTTTCTACTCAAGTATTCGTAATCAAGCATTCAATAGTTACTAATCTTAAAAATCAAAATGAAAACTCATACAAAATGATTATAAGGTGATCAAAGGAATATAAACTCTACCTCTAACAATATATGAACCAAAAACCTAGCACAAAATATCTCCATTCAATTAATCTCCTGATAATTTTGCTGGCCCATGCAATAAGACAAATACTAGGAGAAGGAGAGGCCACCTCACCTGTATTTGATGTGGACTTCAACGGCTATATCTGGTCCGCAACAAGAGTCACGTTTTGAAGAGGCTCTTATCCTCTCCTGAGGGGTTAAAGATGTATTGTGAGGCTTGCTCTCATCCACAACCGACTCTAAAGTTGTGGCGATCCTTCAGCTTCAGGAGACAGTCATTGTCTTCGCTGTCTCCAAAGCAGTAATAACGTTAATGGAGTGTCCTACATCATAATTAATATTTGCAGAAGAAAAAAAACGATAATTAAGCTTTCAAATATGGAAAAATATAACAAAAGATTGGAAGACAAAAGGAGAGAATATTTGCTGCCTCAGAAACGTGAATATTTGCTGCCTCAGAAACGTCGGAATGATCATGGTGGCGACTCGCCACCCTGTAGGG